TAGGCTGATTGATTCTCATTTTAATGGATTCGTTCAGTGATTTAAAAATAATTTTCTTTTTTTTGTTGTTGTTGTTGCTATAACGTATTTTATTTTACTCAAACATTTAAGAGTTCAACTTTAAAAATTATAATTATCATAAATTCATAATCATTGTAATTGTATGGCATATTTATGTAAGTTGTAGAGAGCTATAAATGATACATGTATTTCTACGGTAATATGTGCCAACCGTAATCCGGATGGGCCGTGGGCTGTAGGTACACTCAAGCTAAAGCCTTCTCAGGCCAACGCGGTAACAACTCATGTATCGAGCAATCAAAGAAAAAAAAGGAGACATACAAACAGACATACTAACAGACATACAAACAGACCGAAGATACTGTATACAGTGTATGCTTAGAGACATGTGTTTTTTTTTAGAAAACTTCTATCGACTCTGTCTGTCTGTCTGTCTGGTAAAAACGTTTGAACATGTTTTTTTCTCCTATTTCCCATTCTCGCTTCAAGTTCAAACTTTGTACAAGTATTTATTGTACGATTGGATAAAAAAAAAATATTAACCAGAAAGGGATCTAAACCCTGCCAGTTTAAGATAAAGGGCAGTAATTAGTGATTCGTATCCTTTGATATACTCTTTTTTTTTAAAGTAATATATATATTTTTTCTTTAGTTTGTTTGGCATTTGGCCTTTTTCTTATGTAAGTGGTGACATTAGTGATGCCTAAACTTTGGCCCGCTGACTTTAACCGGTCCTTGACGCAGGTTTATCTCGCTGTCGAACAGTGTATAATAAAACCACAGAGTTTCGGAAGAATTGGTCCCTGACAAAAGTTTAAGAAATGTATATCTTATCAACAAAAACAAACAAATTTCTAGCTTAGACAAATCTCTATTTCCAGAATTGTCTACAACAGTATGAATGTAGTTTCATTATGGTCTATTGGATTTGCACTGCTTTGTATGTTCACGTGTAAGTCTTTTTAAATTCTTAAACTTTATAAAGTCATATTTTGAACCTCTTCTGAAACCACTGATGTTAAAACCATCTATACCAAAGAGCAGCTGTAAAAAGTTATTCACATTTCAATATGTATGTTGAAAGTTATTATATTGGTTCTGGTTACATTAAATAGGCTTATCAATAATAGTTATAATACTGATAAAGGGACTACAATGAATTTTGTTTCTCTTTATCGGAACTCAACCCTGGCTGTGTCGGAACATGACTACTCTTTCGTTTCTAACATAATAATAATAATAATAATAATAATAATAAAAATAATAATAATAATAATAAAAATAATAATAATGTGGGTGAGTCAATTGAACACATAATGGCGGGATGTTCAGCCCTATCGGAATCTGCCTACCTAGGTCGCCATAACCAAGTTGCAAAGCTAATACACCAGCACTTGGCTTTGACACACAATTTGATCGGTAAGGATACTCCTCTATATTATAAATACTCACCACAAGAGGTTCTCGAGTCTGTACTGGGATAGGCCTATTTTGACTGACAAACGGTAGATTTTAATCGCCCAGATCTGCTGTTCATCGACAAAAAAGAAAAAACCGCTACCATTATCGATATCGCCGTACTACTGTCTCATAAATTAAAAAAAAAACTGAGCTGGAAAAACAACGAAAATATGGGAACCTTGGCTTGGAGATTAAGCGTTTATGGAAATTATCTAAAATAACAATATACCCCATTGTCATATCAACCGAGGGAATAATAACAACTGACCTCACAGATACCTTCAAGGCCCTTGGCATTCCTAGGAACATTCTCGTTGCTTGTCAGAGAGCGGTAATTCTGCAGACCTGCCACATCACCAGAAAATTCCTCGGTGGAAACTGATAAAGGGACTACGATGAATTTTGTTTCCCTTTAACGAAACTCGACCCTGGCTTCGCCCGAGAATGAAGACTCGTTCTGTTATAATAATAATAATAATAATAATAATAATAATAATAATAATAATAATAATAATAATAATAATAATAATAATAATAATAATAATAATAATAATAATAATAATAATAATAATAATAATAATAATAATAATAATAATAATAATAATAATAATAATAATAATAATAATAATAATAATAATAATAATAATAATAATTATGTATTCTTTTAAAATTTCTTTAAACTTAGATTTAACCTTCTATCTTTTTATGGTCAATCTTGCTTTCTTTAATATCATTCATTATTTTGTCATACCGTCATATTCATCACTATAATTCTTACCAATGTGTATATCAGATATCACATTTCGATTCTTTATCTCCACTAATCTAATTGAAAATATTTTGAAACAAAAAAAGGTGGCGATTTTTTTGCAATATTCGTATCTATATAAATGGAATGTAAATAATTTTAATTTTTCTATGTATACCTCTCCACTTCCAGACACCGTTCTCGGCTCTACAATCAACAGTCTGCGATTAATAGAACTTCAGAACTTCACTGTTGAGTGTCCTCACGAAAATGTCCAGTGGATGGTCACTTTTGGCAACTATAGGTCTCGAGCAGCATTATGCCAGAGAAACTCCACCTATGTGGGTTGTACTAATGAACTGGGCTCTAGTAAGACTATTAAAAATAATTGAATTTAATATATAAAATGTAGTTTTCTTCTGCATGTTGTAAATAATGTATGTTCTATTCACAAAGCTTCTATTAACTCAATCTGTCTGTCTGTATGGTAAAAAGTTTGTACATGTTATTTTTCCCACACCCAATTTTGGATTAAGCTGAAAGTTTACCTGGCAACACAAGAATCGGCAAAAAATTAACCAATTAATTTATTAACTATTGCTAATTCATCATTTTGTTTGGTATCTTTAACTAGGGAAAGAAATCGTACTTGACAGATGTGGTGGTATAAGTTGAATTAGTCCCCTTGAGGACTCATGAGCCCTGAGTGAACATTTTTTTTATGTATTAAAAAAAAACGGTAATGTAGACATTCACCAAGATACCCCCCATTCTTTCTCCCCCCTTTCATAACTGGTGATTGGATCATACTATGCATTGTGGGAAAGCTGAAAGATAACTATAACAATTGTCAAAAACATCTATATTCGTACAGATTTTTTGTGTCTAGGCAAGCCACGCATATAATTACAAGACTGATACAAAATATTTCACACGATGCACTTATTATAAGCTTTTTTTAAAAGTATTCTTTTATGTTTTTCTTGTGCTTAAATTAAACATTATAAATTATAAAAAGTCATTTAGGATAAATACAAACTCACGCTTCACATCTTGAATGATACTTAATGACTTAATTATATCTCAAAACATGTTTTAAAAATGATTTTGTATTTATAATTACTGATATTATACAGATTCACCTTCATCTATCTCTCAATTTGTTTTCCTGTTGGGGCACCAGACATGATCTGTCGACGTCTTTCTCCCATCTACTTTGTCTTATGCCTTGAATGAAACTCTTTGAAAGACATCCGGTCCATACTGACTTCATAATGCTTCAATTGTTTATTATCAATCGTAAATGTATCTACACAATCGCAAAGGATCGCACATACTATAACGTGATGTACTTTGTTGTGTGTGTGTGTGTGTCACTGCGCGTGTGTGTGTGTAAATACTCTATATGTATTTTTTAAACAGATGTTATTGTCAGTTATAAAAAGCCAGAAGAATATAATAGTTCACATACGGCAAGTCCAAAAACATCATATTTTCACGTCATTAGAGTGGACCCTTACCTGAAACGAATAGAGTGCCAGGATTATAATTATAACAGTCTTATGACATGGATTGTCAAAGTAACAAGTAAGCATTTTAAATATTTGATTACCTTATAATCATTACCTGGCAATCGATAAAAGCACCATAATATACCACTATATTTGACTACCTTTTAACCATTACCTGGCAATCGATACAAGGACCATCATATACCACTATCTAGTGATTTATAAACAGTGTTCAAACGAACATTTGAAAAGCAAGGAACTGATAGTCTCAGGGTGATCAAAGATAAACAAACTATCATGAGCATTATCTTGTGAAACAGACGAAGTATTGAACCATTATACCTGACTTACAGTGAACCACATGCTCATAAACAATAGGTTCATTAAATACTTATAAATATTAACAATGTAATAATAATAGCAATAATAATTATTTTGCCCAGCAGACGTCTATTTCGTATGCAGGAAGGATCCCGGCATTTTATAACTTGCAGTTAATCATTTCTGATATTTGGGGTGAAAATACTGAAACCTTGCTTTGCTTACCAAACTGGGGACTAAACTGGGTGGACCATTTGGGAGCCGCCTCTGAGTTTGTGCAATAAGTCTTTTTAACTTCTTTTTTTTAAAGTTATATTATAGAAGTTTAGATTGTTTGTAAGAAGAAGGCCATGAATCAAACTGCAGCAGATGACGAATATACTATTGGCATGAATCGTGAAGCAGATAGAAATGTTACATTTTGGGTCATTTGTCATACTCGCAATAACTTGATTAGCCAGGGATTACTTCCAAGGGAAATAACTTACTTTTTTAGCAGCCGAAAATTTCGACCGTTGGATGTAGCTGTGGTTCACTTTAATCAGAAGTCAAAGCCGTTGAGATGCTCAGATCATGCATTTCTGTTTCCATTGCTAATCCAGCTTAGAATTTTAAAAGTACTAAATAAGAAGAAATAAAAAAATAAAGTTGATGTTTTTAAAAATCTATTCCTCCTTTATGAAGCTGATAATAATCAATACTTTCTCATTGTATATACATCTTTAAATGGTAACTGTTGATGTCTCATATGGCTAATTAGGTATTATATTGTACGATAACCTATGGACATCATCTCCACGATATTAATTGGAAACAATTAGTATGAGTGGTAGGTCTCCAATTAAACAAATAGAAGAGGCCGAAACGACCACAACAACAAAACAAAAAAAGAGAGGCCCTAAAATGGAAGAGTAAGTCCATAAAAGAAGCATCAATCC